CCTTACTTGAAGAAAGTGGCAGCTGTAACTCATCAACTGGAGGGTTGGGGTGAGAAGTGTGATGAGTAATGTTAAGGAAATATGATATCAGTCAGGAGTATTGATCATAAGCCAACAATAAATTAAACTAAAAATTCACAGTGAGATACATAAACACATTAATACATAGACATATACAAATACACACTCAAGATAGATACACACATTATTTTAAAAAAAAACATATCTCGCTAAAGATATTTAAAAATTATATATTTTAGTTAGAGTAAAGAAATCATTTTAGCATCTAAGTTATACCAATTTGTTAAAGATTGTGATGTAATGGAATAACCTGTCACCCCCATGAGTGACTACTCTATAGGTAGTAACTACCTATAAGTTTCTGTAAGTCAATGGACTACAGAGTCTACCTGGGATCTGTTGAGTACAACTCAGACTTACGCAAGAACTACCACCCTTCCAATAGTAGCACTCACTAATGGATTGACTTGCGACAACCTTGTGCATAGCTGTTACCTTTATTCTTATTGTACTGGTTTTACAATAAACCTTTACTTATTTTATCCACTGTGTTTTTCAAGTATATATTCCTATTAGCACAGACTATAAAAGATTGTAATGAGCCTGACAAATATTGATGACCTAGAGTTGCCACTGGTTTGCATGGCTACATACTTGTACATTAGTTTATACTAAAGAAAGTTTTCTTTTTTTTCTCTTAATCCCAAATACTGTGTAAAAACCATGAAAAAGCCAAGGTGGAATGGTGTTTTCTCTGCATAACTCCAGATGTTTGTATTTGATATCAATTACATATAAACTGGATTTGCTGACTTTTAAGGTTTCTCAGATAAAGTATTTCCTGTCGAGTATGAAAATAATTTTAAAAAAGATAAATGAGAGACAATAGAAAAATATATATATAAAACTATTATATATTACATCCTTGATTTTACATTTTCTCCCTTTACCTTTCTTTTCATATCTTCTCTCTTTCCTTCTCCAATCTTTTTATGTTTCTCATTTTTATTTTATTCAGATACTTTATCTTTCCCCTCTCTTACATCAGTACTTTCAATCTTCTCTCTCTCTCATTTTATATTTTTCTCTTTCTACTTCATCCTCTTTAATACATTCACTCTCTTCTTTTTTATTCTCATTTTATAAGGCATCTTTTTTTAATTCTCTTTTTCTACAGTTCTTCTTATTCCTCTCTGTCACTTGATGCTCCTATATCTATCTATATTCAAAATCCTGGTTTTTGCCTGGGTGTGGACATCAATCACTGTTGACTGAAGAAATACACAATCATTTGACCAGTCAAACATGCTAATAAATTTATTACTTTTTCAACCAACTAGCAAAATTTGAATTAAAATAAATAAATCAGATAGTTACAAAGAGAGAAAAAGCAAGGGACAGTAATGTAGACTAATAAATAGGCATTAAAAGTAGAAATGTGTTTGCATCGTTAAAATTGATTTGGTTCTTCCATTTGAGACCATAAATATACACAGAAAAATCAAGCTTTCAGTTTTTTAAATATTCTAATTGTAAACATGCAAACTTAAATATATGAGTTTCTTTCAGAAAGAAATTGAACCAAGAAAGGAAAGGGTTAATAAACAAGGAGGCCATAAAATAAGAATGAAAAGCAGAGTTAAACAAAGAAAGAAAAGTAGAAAACTGAAGAAAGGTTTAAACAATCAAAAAAGGAAACAATTTCAAAAGAAAGAAAAAAAGCATGAATGAAAGCAGGTGGTGAAGAAAGAAGAAAAGAAAAAGAAAAGAAAAAAGAAATAAAAAGATAGAAAAAGGAAGAAAAGCAATCTCAGAAAATAAAGAAAGAAAAAAGGAAGCTGAGAAATAAAGGGTGAAAAGAAGATAAGAAAAGAAAGAAAGAAAAATGGGCAACAAAAAAGACAAAAGAAATATGTAATGTTACTGCTGTACAGTGAAATTTTTATATATATCCAGTCCTTGTGATAATCCCGCTTGCCAGAATGTAATCTTATATGCTATAGATCTTAAAGTATCTTCAATAATCTTTCTCTATTTAAGATAGTTGGGTTCTTGTTTTCAATTATGTTCACATCTTTATGAAAAGATAGAAAATTTTTTTCAGAAACAAAGAAAAGAATGCTACTACATATATCAATCCTCCAATAAGGCAATGAATACAAGACAGAAATGAGACTAGAAGCAATAGAGACATAGAATACCATAGACAGATTATGTGAACAATGAAGAAGTTTCAAGGAAAATATGAACAAAAATCCACTTATAATCAGAGACAGATGAAATTTCTGGGACACATAATGAGGAAGGAGGGCTTGGAAAATTTAATTCTCACAGGACTTATTGAAGACAAGATTGGCAGAAAGAAACAATGAATGAGTTTTCTATTGAGTTTTTGCAAATAGATGGTAAAAATAGAACTAGGAAGGATGGTAAGAGGTCAAGTTGGGGAGAGTGTTGATCAGCAATACCCTGAAGGGACATAGTATATATAAGAATGAAGTTGAATGAAGAGAATAACTGGATGTAATATTATAAATATGAAGTCTGCAAAATATGGTTGAGTGATTAAATGCAGGTGATCACAAATTTTGTTTCTTTGTAATTGTTTTATATTTTTTGTTTCAAATCATTTGCTGATTGCATAAAATCCAGATATAACTTATTTATTCATTTAAATTTTATTCATTCATAGTATTTGTAAAGAAAATCTTTAAAAATCTGTATAAAGTAAGATTTGATAAAATGAATAAATTAAATGGATTCAAATCATAGCAGCCATGTTATTAGAATATATTATATTAATTAATTAGTTTCAGTCAAAATGGAAATGTCTTTTTATTGTAAATTATTAATAAGATACATTATCCCTACTCAGTGGATACCAACTTAAAATAAAATTTAATTAACTTATAATTTACAGACAGATAAATATTATACAGCATTTAAAACATGTACCAAATTATTAATCTGCAAAACTTTAAATGGAGTCAAGCATTTTTATGTTAAATATTCCTCTATATTTTGTGTCTTCTATTACATCTACATGCTAGGTATAAAGAAAAGGATATCAAGCAGTCAGTCCTAATTAGAGTCCCCATGATAGCTTGAACAGCAGCCAGAAGTAACAGTGTTTAGTCTATTTCATGTAATGTGAAAACTGTCTTTATAAGATAATTTTAAATAATTTTTTGTAAAACACTCCAACAATTTCTGAAAGATACAAATTTTAGATTAACTCTTTATTTTCTTTCTTCTTTTCCATTACTTTTTATTTATGGATGAGTTGAATATTTTTACAAATCAAAATTTTCAATGCAACAAACTTACACATATTTATTTATTAAACTAATTTTTTCTTTCACCTGTAAAAGTATATAAAATGTACAATGTGGTCTTCATAATGAAAAGTTTGCAGACTGTTGCTAGAAATAAAAGAAAATATATCAGAGTTGAAAAACATAATTCATAAGGTAAAAATCATTTTACCTATTCTATTTGCTCTTTAGAAATAGCAACCACCTCTACATATTGGATATGAAAGCACTTAACTATTAAGAATATTAAGAATATTGCTTTCACATATGGTCCAGGGTCTCTGCTATTTACCTTCATAAAATCCAAAGAAGAATCAGCAATATTATTGGTCCTTATCTGGCATATCAGTTTCAGTCATTTTCCCATTGCTTTGAGGTTGCCTGTCTGTGTACTTTCAAGTTAATTGTTCAGATGAGCTCTTTGCTATGGTACCTAGATATTTTTTAATTTAAGCATAGTACTTGACTGGCATCAAGATCTCATCAATTCACAGTTGAGCTCACTAGATTTAACTATAAATTCTATGCTAACAGTTACTTTTCTTGCATGTTTCGCTTGTGGAACTCCCTTCCAGCTCCATGCTTTCCAGTCAACTTTAATCTGCAAAAATTTAAATTCAATGCCAATCATTATCTACTGTCATGTTTACTCTTTTCTCTTTCTGTTCATTATTAGGTTTCTATTCCTAATTCATCCACACCCTGTAACCCCTTATGTTTTAGTGGCTTTACTGCCTTGCATGGGGTTATACAAATTTAAAAAAAAAGTTCATAAATTTTTGTTATATTCTGTGCTAATAGTAATATATACTTGAAAAACAAGGTGGATAAAATAAGTAAAGGTTTATTGTAAAAAATCAGTAAAATAAGAATAAAGGTAACAGTTATGCACAAGGTTGTTGCAAGTCAATCCAGTAGTGAGTACTACTATTGGAAGGTCGATACTTCTCGCATAAGTCTGAGTCGTACTCAACAGATCCCAACTAGTAATATTTACCAACCTCCCCATGGGGGTAGGATGTGGCACAAGGCCGAATTTGATATGGGGCAATCCGCGCCTGTAGGCTTGGCCAAAAATTCCCTGTATACCCTGCATAAACGGGTTTGGGTCTGTCTACATAGCCTCATCCAAGCAGAGAGTTCAACAAAAGCTAAGAGCTGAGTAAAAGATTCCAGCTAGTATATTTAGCTACCCCACCACAAGGGTTGCATGTGGCACAAGGCTGGTTTAACATGGGTTCTCTGAGCCCGTAGGCTTAGCCAAAAATATTCCCTTTCGAACATGTTATAAACGGGTTCAGGAGCAGTCTACCTCCCCAAACGAAACTCTGCCCTTCCGCAGAGCCTCGTCTGGGTTCCTCTCCACCCGAAGGCAGAGAGTTTGACTGTTTAGCTGGAACAGATCTCAGCTCACCTCTGTAGCCTGTTGACTTACAGATACTTATAGGTAGTTACTACTTATAGTGTAGTCACTTATGGGAGTGATAGGTTATTCCATTACATCAATTTTCAAAAGATTTTACTGGTTTGTTTTATTTTGACAATCTTTAAATATATTTTTCCCTGCAGGACATAAACTACTGACAATGAATGAATATTTTATAGTTCAATGTGTCTGTTGTATTTCAGCATCATTTAGGTTTCCAACATATCAACATCAAACCAATGCAACCCAGTGGTCTCCCATTGGACAGTCCACTTTTGCCAGAGAAACTCAAAGAAAGTGGATACTCAACACACCTAGTTGGAAAATGGCACTTGGGACATTACCAGGAAAAATACCTACCAACCAATAGAGGTTTTGATTCCTTTTATGGTAAGTTCATATTTGTTTCTTGAAAGTTCTTTCATTAAATCAAAGATAGAATCAATATATTAAATTGTAATTTCAAAAGCAATGGATTTCTTGGAAAATTTATAGATATTTTTCCTTTATAAGCAACTTATTTATAAGCAACTGTACTTAAATTTGGTCAAATCGTAAGCAACTTCAATCATGACCGCAGAAAAAAAACAAAAAAGAAATTAAACAAAAAGAGTTACTATATATGTTATTTTGTACTGTGTTCAAGAATACTATCAATACTACTAGTTGAGTTACAGCAAAATATTTTTCTTTTATATTTATTATATATTTTAGACCGAAATATAAAAATTTAACCAACCATTTAAGCAACTTGAGTACTAATTCTTATGCAAAATATAAGCAGCCCAATTACTGGTCAAAATCCTATATCGTTTCTAAAAAAATTGTGTATATAAAAAATACATGACTGTGGAAGTTTTTTTTTTCCTTTTTTGGATTAAATCACTAAAATTGGATGCCTCCAAAATTGTTTTTATCTATCAGTAATAGAGATTTGTTGTATGACACATAGAATTCTATTAACCCTATAAAATCCAATATGATATGAAGAAAATATCATCCTAACCTTAAAATAAGCTTAATTCCAAAGATATTAAATTTACTATAGTATAAAGAATTTATATACAAAATAAAGAAAAAAATTAGTTAATAAGATTTAATTCCTTTCACTTAATTTAAAATAATTTTTCAGTGGTCTTGTGAGAAGAAATTTGTTATATCATTGATAAATATTTGTAGATATTTTTTATTAAATAATGATAGTGTTATTTTTTCTACTAAAACCTAAAACCATGGGAGATCAGGGTGCCATCTCATTGAATTTGTCATATTGAAAACTTATACTGAATACCTTTTTCATACCTGCTGAGTTATGTAACTACCTTCCATTATATAATTGGTGGCTACCACCTGGGTAGGCTTTTATGAGACTCAGGAAACCCAGCCCAACACATCTATGTACTCTTGGGAAAAAATAGTTGAGTCATTGTTATATCTACATACCAAATGACATTATTTGTTCTTAAAAAGAAGAAACAACAAATATTATGACGTTAAATGTTTAGGGTTTAACTCCTGACCTGACTGATAACAACTCTACTCTTTGCAATGGCAAAAAGATTAACAACTAAGGGCTCATCTAGGCTTATAAAACTTTTAGAGAAACGTAATTGAGAAAATGTCATTTACTTTATAACAACTGTGGGATCACATCACATACACATACATATATCTACAGTCTTTCTGTTATTTATATTAGATGTTTATATATATATAAATGTCCATATATGGTAATTTAATGTCAAATGCCTACTTATTGAATAAGTGTATAAATGCCAACATATATATAATTGTTTAAAATTTGGTATATTTGTTGGAGAAGAGTGCTCAGCATTGGAGATAGAGAATTTTCTAGAAATAAACTGGTGACTGGATGCTTTAAGCAATTATCAGGCAATATGCAGTTTGTTTCTCAATTTATTGATTTCTATTATTGATCTACCCTCATATCCATCTGTCTCACTCTCATTTTTTCTCAAGGTAAATAGATAGATTCAGAATTAGGGAATTTTCAAGATGTAATGCTATCAAGAGAAACAAAAGAAAGTCTTATTTACAAACATGATTTTTATTTATGAGTTAAATTTTATATGCTTTTCTTCCATTTAGGAGTGAGCAAATAAATCAATTTCTAAACACACACACACACACACACATAAATATATATATATATATATATATATATATATATATATTAAACTACCCATGACCTGTTGGGTCACTGATGGTTCAGGTCATAAAATGGTGAAGTTGATTTCAACATTACAAAAATTGTCTATTTGAAGAAAGTCGAAATAAAAATACTTACACTAAAAACAACTCGTATTTTTAAATCTTATTCACTTAAAATACTTTTTAAATCAGATTAACTTAAAAATATTTTTTAAATATTTAAAATATTGTTTGTTTAAAGAAAGCTGAAATATAAATAATTACTCTACAAACAACTGGACGAAACAGCAAAGCGGGATCTCTTTGTGTCTGTCTTTAACTTTAAAATATTTTAATTGTTTGTTTGAAGAAAGTTAAAATAAAAATGCTTACTGTATAAACAACTCATATTTTTAAATCTTATTCACTTAAATAAAATTAACTTGAATTATGCACTGGATGGATACACCATGCAAACATGCATGCAATCACAGAGAGGTGGAAAGAGAGAGATGTGGAAAGAAACTTAAATCATTATGCACCAGATGGACACACCATGCAAGCATGCATGCAATCATAGAGATATAAAGAGAGAATTAAAAAGAGAGGGTAGAATAAGAGAGAGAGAGGTGGAAAGGATCTTCAATCATTATGCGCTGGACAGATGCACCATGCAAGCACAGAGAGATGGAAAGAGAAAGGTGGAAAGAGAGAACAAGGTGCAAAGAAACTTAAATCACTATGTGCTGGATGAACAATGCACCATGCAAGCAGACTTTTAGTATTATATATATATATATATATATATATTTAAAGATATGTTTGGTGGTACAAAATTTTATCACTGCCATGAACAGACAAAAATTAGTTTTATTATTACCACTCATGATGATAAAAAGTAAAAAATGAAAAACGGACCTCGCTCAACAGAGCTAAATTGAGGTAAATAGAGTAAATTATATAAATATAAAAGTAAAGAAAAAATTTGGCATTCAAACATAAAACTAACTGTCGTCACTTGGTTTTTTATATTTATACATCCTCTGTCTCTGATATTGTGCACTTTTACTCATAAATATACCATAGATTAAAACTATATTTTTATCATATATATATATATATGTCTATATTTCTCAGATAAAGTATTGTAACTATTTACATCATTCTCACTGTTTTCTTCATCATTACTGGCCATATTCACTTTTCAGCCATTGTACATTTTGCCTTCTTCAGGTGATATACACCCTTGTACCAAATAAAAGGGTCGATTCAAAATTCCAAAATATATCAGTTGATGAAACACCTCTCAAAAACATAATAGGTAGAAATGTTAAACCCGTTAATAATAAACAAGTTAATCTCATCATATATTATAAAATATTTAAAACAATTGACTCATAGCCTTAAATAATCCTACAACCACACAACTAAATCCTATACAAAAAAAACAATGTAGTATATCAGTTTGCATGCCTGTTCAGAGATGCTAATAATAAACCCACTACATATATTGGTTTTGCTACAACTACACTCCCCTGTAGACTTACCTGTCACCTTTCTGATTTTAGTTCTATTAAACAACATTTCTTAGAAAAACACAGCCATGTACATAATATTAACTAGATATTAGTTGATAACACAACAATACTCACACAAACACACAGTAAAAAGAACCTTCAGACATTGGAGGCTATCTACATTAAAACAAATCAACCCACACTCAACAAAATTACATTTCAAACTAGTCACAACACCTTACATTGTATCTAAACATATAGTTCTGGTGTTAATATTTCAGTCTCTCACGTAGTACAACATCATAGAACCACATCTTGAATTTACGACCTGCATCTGCTATTCTGCAACCATTATTGTCGCATAGCAATCTTCTATGTCAACATAACAGAATATCATCTTTGATGGTGAATATCTTTGTTTAAATGTCCATATAACCACTCTGAAGATGGCTCATGTGAGCTGAAAGCTTAGCTCAAGGAACAGCTTAATAAAAAAATATCCAAATATTGGACAATTTTTGTCTTTATTTTCACCCGAAATTAAAGCAAACATACAAAATTTAGAAGGGCTTATGATTAAACATAATAGACATTCATTGTCTGTTATATTTAATTTTTGATTAATTGCTCACATAAAAAAAATATGTCTAGATACACACATACCTACATGCACACACATGACAAAGTGGAGAAAATACTGTGTAACATATTTTGTCTTCATTGGACTAAAGTAATATTTTTGTTAATAGAATTATATATGTGGGGGGGGGGGTAAGTGGGAAATATGAAAATGTGGATGTCAGTTAGAATTATGGACTAAAAGGAAATGCCGAAGGTGTGAGAAAGCTGAAATTTTGAATTATTAAATTTAATTTTTTTTTTTTTTTCAGACATTTTCTGGACATATAGTCTAACCAGTTTAATTCAGTTTCCCTATACTTTTATTTATGTTTTTTATCACTTTTATTATTAAGCATCTCACGTTGTGATAAGAGATGATTTGCCAAAAACGATCTGCCATTATCAAATATATTCACATACAGTGTGCGATAGATAAATTGTCATTAAATTATACAAAAATGAAAATAACACAACATCTCATTTTAACAGATATATTTACCAAAATTACACAAAAATATTTCGAAATACTAAAGAGAAAATTTATTCAATAAACAGCCTTCACATGATTTCAGAATCTCCTGCAACATTTCTGGATGGTCTCCTTGTTGGTGAATGCTGCCATAATCCTTACCTTCATCTTTGGTGTTGGACGCAGTTGTGTTGGTCACTCTCTGAATTGCGTCCCACACATAATAATCAAGAGGGTTGCAGTCTGAGGAGTTAGGTCACCAGATGTAAGGGGTGATATGGTTACAGAAATTGTCTGACAGCCATGAATGGGTTCTCCTGCTTATGTGGCATGGTGCAGAGTCTTGTTGCCAGAAGGGTCTTCCAACAGCCACCCTCTTGACCCAGGGCAGCACTACCTTCTCAAGGCACTTAATGTAGGCCTCTGTGTTGAGTCTAAGGCCCTGTGGGAAGATTAATGGAGGCATAATGTCACCATCACTAGTGATCACTCCAAACACCATGATGTTCACTGGATACTTGGGTTTCCTCACTCTCGGTACATCTTTTGGAGACACAGCACTGTCCTTCAAACACTGAAATGTTCATATTGGAGCTTCTGGCATGAATACCAAGCAGTACAGCATTCTGTAT